ATGCATAATATTTTGTTGATAAAAAAACATGTGCACTAATAGACACATTTGCACAAAGAAAGTCTTAGCTTACACGTTTTCATTAAGCGACGGCTGAAATGTATACTATCTTTTTCCATTCAGCCAACATAATGGGACAAAGGCCTGGAATCTGCTTCTCTCAGTCTCTCAGATACACTCAGTTAGCCAAAGAGAGCACTTTCCCTAAATAATCAGTGTGTCTTCACATGGATGTGGTTGCTGCCTCTTTCTCTCTCCCTCTTGGACAGCCATTTGTTTACACTAGTCCTAGGCTCAGCCATGTTTCCATGACGATACAATCCCAAGGATAGTCACATGGCTGGGGGTAGACCTGAGGCGCCGGCTCCAGGATCACTGCTCCTTCAAGACTCCAACCTTCGAGCTCGGTCCATAAAAGATATCTGACAAACTGACCTTAAGGTTTACTTTTCCAGTTTTACTTTGGGGAATGATTTTCTAAATCCACGAGTCATATTTTGTCAGTTTCTCTCTAAGTCACATGTTGAGCCTAGTAACATCTTGGTTTTTCACAACAGCATTAAACAGCATTTTCGGAAGTGTTCTGTCTTTCTCCTTCTCTGATGGTAGGCATGTGGGCTCATTCTCGATGGCATTGTAAAAAGATAAAAGGAACTCTCTAACCTAACAGGAAAATAAAACCAGATCCACCCACATGAAAAGAAACAGCCCACACACAAACAGAAAGAATAAGCCCTCACCCACCAAAAATTCAGCCTGATAGCGTCTTGCATACAACATGCTCATGCAAGATTTACGTTTGGCATCTTAAATTCTGCACCGTTGTGGACAAAATGCTTGAAATGTCGATGTAGGTCCTCAAGAAGCTCTTTGAAAAGCCTTGTGAAAATAGTTGAGAGTACAAAAATGTGTTTGAGTTTGTGTGAAGAAGAGTGTGTTCTTGCACAAACATCCTCAGTGTTACTTTGTAAGTGGTTCAGATCTCTCCTTGGTATTTGGCTTAACGCTTTGTAACACAAACAATAACCTCCAAGTGAATGTGAATATTCTTTGTTGTTTTATCAGCCCCTTTGTTTTGTGGGTGTGTTTTATTGTAGTAAATGATGTCTGATATTTCGATGGTTCTGCCTGAATGCTAAGCAAACATGTGATTTAAATTCAATAGGAAATGACATATGGTGCTACGGCTTCTCTATTCTCACACCTAACACATGCCTTTTACGAGCCAATCATAAGGGTTAGGAGAGTTTATGTTATGATTTTTACCATCTGTGTTACAAAAAAAGGAACAGGTTAAAATACAGGGAACCACCGGCCTGGTTGTTATTTCACTCTTTCATTGACATCATGATGAAAAGAGGGGGAGAGAGAGTAGATGACGCAGAAACCTAATTAAGATTCTCCCGAGCGTGAGCAAATTAACCTGAGTTATGAGCTTGCAGAAGCACAAGACTGACACACACATTCACACACAACTTTCGTTTTTGAAATACGTGGAGCAGATGAGAATGACATTCACACTCAAACAGGCATGACTGCCATGGACGTTCAGTGATATTTTAAGCAGGGTAAAGAGAAATATTATAGGCCATCTAGTCCAAAACCACTACCATGGAAAGTACACCAAAATAGGCTACAGGATATGCATATCGGTTTTCATTCTTGTTGAATTTAAAACAGCCTCAACAGCCTCATCACTCAGATTTGGGGCAGCAGCATGATAAAATGACATGTAGCTTCATGTGAAAAATTAGCCTAACAAGGAGAGCTGGATAAATAGGCTGTAGCATGTACCGTACGCTAATGACATTGCAGAGAGCGACATATGCCAGGCATCAGTATGTCACTCCATGGGGACATGGGGCTTACGGTAAGAGGATAGTAAGAGAGAAGTGGTGCTGTGTGTGTGTGTGTGTGTGTGTGTGTGTGTGTGTGTGTGTGTGTGTGCATGTGTGTGTGTGTGTGGTTATGGTTTATTTACCTCTTGGCACAAAGCCCTGAAGGCAGACAGAGGGGGTGGGAGTTAGAAATACATGGATGAGGGGTCAAAGGGGGGAGGAGCAGGACAGCACATGTCATATATGAATGAGAGAAGAGGGGATGAACTTGACCCAGACTGGAGGACTAAAACAGGAAGGAGATAATGAAGTGCAAACATGCTTTGTCATGCCATGTTAGAGCCATAGGATTAGAATTCTATAATTAGAGGACGGGGCACCATAATACTAGCCTTCCTTTCAGCATGATGAGCTGCCGAGTCTAAATTACACAAGAGGGCCGGAGAACAGCTGCTGTGATCAGAACAGGCATCTCGGGAAGTTTTCTATACCGGTAAAACGATGCTCAGTTACGGCCTGGTCTGATTGAAAACCAGAGATGGAACTTGGCACAAAGGTGAGATTTGTACTAATGTTTCTATGATCAGCTCATGACAATGTAATGTTTATGACAGACAGTCTTCCAGGTCCAAAAGCGACATGCATAGTCATTGTATTCATCTGCAGTTGTTGATGTATAATTACACACAGGGTCTCATGCAGGTTGAGGTTACATAAGTTTCAATACCTGGTCAGCGACTGACAAATTCATCACTGATTCGACGGTAGAAAGAGTGCAAGAGAGCTGGAGCTGGGTGGTTATAACACTGCTATAACAGGAGGAGCAGTGGACTGCTAGATGACACTTGCTTTCACATATGAATATTTATCTTGAAGGCTGGCATTGGAACAGATGAGCTCGCATGGGAGAGAGAACAACCAATCCATCTCACTCTCGACCATTCTCGGTGCTTCATTCTTTACTTCCAGACATCCCTTTCTCTTCCAATCACCATTTCAATGCCTCTTTCCTCTTTTGCATTTTCCACCCACTTTTTCCCTCTAGGCTTCCCCTCTTTTTCTTGATATCACCCAATCTATTGCTCTTCCCCCTAAACGCCATCCCCTATCCATTGGCTCTCTGCAGCACTGATGTATCGAAAGAGATGTAGACAAAAAAGGAAAAAAGCGTGTGATTAATGTCTTTGAGAAAAAGATAAATAATCACAGGAGACTGGGGGCTGGTAGTTGGCCTTAGGGGAGTAAATATGGAGAGTTTTATAGCTGCTCACTTGGGAGAGAGGGAGGTGGAGGAGATGAGAGGGGGAGGAAAGGAATACAGCGACAGCAGATCCATTCAAGTATATTAGCTTTCCCCCCATACACAATAACCTCCACATCTATTCTATTCCTCTACTGTCTTTCATCATCAACACTGAATACCATCCTACTGACAGCACACACACACAGGAAGCCACACAAAAGCCATGCCCGCCTGTATGCAGACACACACACCCTCACAGGCACCCTGCACTTTTTTCCAGGGCCAGACCCACTGTATGTATTTGATGGGCCAATACATGTGGTGTGTGATGTGGCTGACAGCCCCCTCCCATGCGTCCCTGCTTTTAAGCTCTCATCCTCCAGTGGCTGCCTGTCCCCTGGAGTAGATTGCATCTTTTATTTATCATTTTCTCTTCTTTAGCTTTATTTCCCCCTAGCCCCCCCAAACAAATGCTGTGGCGAAAATTGCAATCAGCATAACATGCCCTCCTCCTGCTGTGTACTCGCCTGTCATCCTCCACTCTCTGTGAGCATGCAGGATGAGACTGACAGCCCGTGCAGACGAAGACACACACACACATGCACACACACATGCACACACAGATGCATGCACAATCCCCCTCAGTGTTTATCAAACCCCCACACATAATCTTGTCTTTCTCTTTCTCTCTCGCACACAACAAAAACACATGCATGGCCAAAGAAAATGACCCCGTTCCCGTCTTTGTCTCTATTTCTAACTATTGCAAAGCACACAAACACACATGAATTTCCTCACTGACGCCCTTACACTGTTTTACTCCGTGCTGGGTGTTTAGCTTCCCGAAGCCCCAAAAGAGTGAGCACATACATGAGTCTAATGCTGGGGAATCTGGTAAACAGGCCAGAGAGGGAGGGAGAGCTGCCTGCCTGTCTGCCTGCTCCATGGCTACTATTGTGCACTGCACATTCTCTGAGCCCACAAGAGCTGAAGCCATCTCCACACAGATTCTTTGGAGGGATAGTAAGCCAAGAAGTGAGAGAGGGAGCAGGGGAGAGAAAAGGAGAGGGTGAAGTAGGGAGGAGGAAGAAGATCATGCATAAAATCTTGTTTGGAGAAGGCATTAAGATTCAGATGAACTGGGGAGGGTAATGGGATTAGAATCCTGAACCGTTTCCAAGGGTGGGGAGTCGGATTGACAGCTGAGTCTATTGCACTGACGATTGCAGTGAAATATTGTGGCTCTGGCAAAGGCAGCTAGCCAGGCATGGAGGCAGGCAGGGAAGCAGGGGATTGCTTAGCCTACAGTACCTCTGTTTACTCCAAGCTTTACCACACATAATACAGAAGACAGGGGGGAAAGCATCTCTGCCTCTATCAGCTGCACATAGCCTGGGCTTTAACTGAATATTGGGAAAACAGCAGAAAAGCTTCAGTCTGTCTCACAAAGGTGTTTGGCAAACAAAACAGAAGCACTGTGGCTTTAAATCGCCCTCCCTCCCACCCTTTCTAAATATCTTCTATTTAGCCAGCGGTGAAAAGATATAGGGGGCTTTTGTCCGCGTACCCATTGGTGGGGGCATGGAGAGCTGGAAAGACATAAAAATAGGAACAAAGTACTAAGCTTCCAATTGGGATGGCTCTGGGCAATTCAATGCGCTCAGCTCAGTGGGCAAAAACAAGGAGAAGTGGGCTACTATTACGGGCTTATCTGAAAATAGGCTATTCTCACACAGCTATAGTATAGACTGGTGTGGAAATACCCTGCATTGTTTATAACACACACGGCTATGGGAGGCAAACACAAGCCCTTTAAAAGTCTGCCATGGCTCCATAGAAAAGGGCAAACCGTGCGAGTTAGACGTGTTGTTCATTGTAGTCTGTTTTGCTGCATTTCTGTAACGTTATAGTCCACTCACCGACTTGCAATACGTTGTCCACCCAGCCACCCTCTAGCAGAGTGACACCCCGTAGGAAAGGCAGCTGGGTCTCGTCGTTATTGTCCCCGCTAGTTCCACTTTCCTCTCCTCCGGCGTTGAAAGAGGAATACATACAGATCTCCTTCTCGCTCCTCGGGAATGACCAATATACGATCCTTCGCTGGACGGGTTCCGGGATCCTCTCGAACCGCTCCTCCACCCTCTGAAACGGCCACTTCTCCGCGACTCTGCGTGCCGCGATGTCGAGCAACGACTCGGGGTTATGTGTTTTTCCGTTCCCCGACCCTCCCGGAGCGGACCCTGCGCCGCCACACAGGACTCCTCCAGCCCGCTGCCCCTGCCTGCATGCCGGGTTGTAGCCGGGCCTGCAGCAGAGCCGCTTGGCTGGGGGCTGCTGGACTCGCTCGGCCATGATCGCACCGCTTCCAACCTGAAGCGCTGTTCCTCTCCGATCATATAAACGGGATAAGGAAGAGAAAAGGGCAATCTCGCACCGATTGTTTGCCGTACATGGAGAGACTGCCCTTATTTGGAAAGGGAGGCGGCGCCTGCGAGTTCCGTGAAGTCCTTTGTGTTGTCAAAGTAACCGGGAGGGGCGGGGTCCTGGAGCGCAGCCAGCGCACGAGTGGCGCTATAAAAGGAACTGGAGGCGGAATTCCCGAACGTCGGCAAATCCTTTGTGAAGCCGTTTGGGAGCGCGAAGGCGGAGCCCCGGCGGCCGACGGCCTTTGAAGTTTCCTTCTTATTCGAGTTTAAAGGCGGGGACTTAATCCAGGGGCGGTCTCGCAGTTTCCCACAGGGGTAAAAGGGGGCAAGAAAACTGACTTTTTTCCTTTGGAGCCTGTGCTACCACCCCGGGCTCTAGCTTCTTCAATAACAACGTGATGGTTGTTTTCGAGGCTTAAGTCCAAAGGACTCTCAGCTGTCAGAGACAGAAAGGGCGTGGGAGGAGGAACATAAAGATATGGAGCTGGACATGCTTGTCCTCTGTATTCACTACTCATGGCATGTTGGTTAGTGGCTGCTGCAGCTTATGGACAATTAATTGTACTCGAAAATAAAGGAAAAATAGCTTCCTTGCTATCTCTCTCTCTCTCTTTCTTTCTTTCTTTCAGTCTCACACACAGACACTAATTTAACTTGACTAAAAAACAGGGTGACTTTGACTTAATATGATTAAAGACTTAACAAGCACATATTTGACACTAACCTAAGACTAAATTAAAGAAAAGTTGCTGACATTAAAACGAAGCCTGTGAGAAGAAAGGCCTCTTCTGAGGTCAGAAAAAAACGATCCCTGGTGATGGTGATGGTGGTATATTCATTCATTTTACATTTAAATATTAAACAGTCAAGTCATGCTCTATTGAGGAAATTACTCAAGGTCTGGCCAGTCAACTGGGTTTTCTTGTAATCATTATGACACACAGCAGTGGAGCTGGTTAACTATAAAATGTGGTGTAGTCGTTTTATGGTCCTCCTTCCTGTCTGTTGATAATGCTTGTTCCACAGCTTCGTCATGAAAAGGGGGCCCACTTCTGTAGGAGTCAAATAGTCATCAGGGGTTTAGGGTGCGGCTGCATTGCCCACCCCCTGGGTTCTCCCTTCCTGGGGAGACATGTAACAGAAGCTAATAATTATAAGCAAAAGCCATAAGATGGGGGTGGGGGCTAAATTGTCTATAAAACTTGCCCAAAACTATGCTGGCAAACCAGAAAGTGTGTTCGCAATGTGTTTATCCTCTGCATGTGTTCCCAGCTGCCCCTCTCTTTCCTCTGTGAGCAGGGCTAAAAGGCTGGCCTTTGAACTGCTCTGAAAGTGATCCATGCCGTATGGACAGAGCAGATGTGGCCTAACCTGATTTGGTTTCAATACTTCCCCACAGGAAGTTCACAAAGCCAGCAGGTCCATCTTTGTTATGTTAGTCATCTTTCCCAGAGGGCCAGTGCAGCCTTTTGCTTCTTTTTTTTAAAAATAGCTATTTCCTTATAGTTTTTTCTATTCTTCAAGCAGAATAGTTATACACACATGGTCAGTTTTAAGAAATAGACGTCATCTGAACAGAGTAGACCATATTTGTCAATCTGTATCCAATAATTTAAGTTAGCATATTCGTAGCAAACTCATATTATTTCTAAGTAACCATAACCAACAAGAGTGTGCTATATCCAAACAGATAATATTGTAGCTTCAACCCCACAGGTAAGCTCTATATATTATCAAACTTGATCATAATGTATCAAATGTACTCACTCACAAAGACCCAACCATACATATTGGTGCTAGATGTTTAGTCTATTTATATTAGCTTTATTTATTTATTTATAATTATCCTGTTATGTTTATCTATAGCTTTTAAAAGTCATTTCATTTATTTTATTCATATTTACTATCTTATTCTGCTGCATCTATACTGGACCAGCTCAGAAGAAATGTCTCTGTGCCCTAACAATGACAACAAAGTTCTTGTATCTTGAACCATTTTTTTCCCACTGAGATAGTTTTTTTTTTATCCTGCACCTTAAGGAATAGGTTAAATAAAAATCTTAAATGCTATGATTCAGAGTAGTATAGTATGGCTCCCTGTTTTTAAAGTTATTTCAAGTGCAATTATTCCTTTTGTTATGCTCTTAAAATGTATAATATACATTTTGCAGGCAATGTGGTACAATATACAACATTATGACCAAACACTGCATAAAATGCAGTTTACATTTTGCTCTGTATTTTGATTATTTGTAGGCTACATCTAATTTCCTAGGCTTGAGGACTACATTTCCCATCTTTAAAGCGGCGCGTCATATCCAATCAGGGCGAGGAATAGGACCACATCACGTTACACTACCCGGAACTGGGAGGAGGTGGTACTAATTGTCGCGGATATAAACACAATCTCAGCAAATTGGTAAGTTTATTTTATATCTTTATCGTTTTTTACCACCAATAACCAATATGAGAATATATATTATTTGTTTTGTCACGTTCACACGCATAGTTGTGGAGCAGTTTAGCCGAGAGTCGAAGCTATCCTGCTCCTTCAAGTTAGGCCGTTATGAATGGGCAGGTTAGCAAGCGTCGCTAATCGCAGTAGAGAGGTTCATTTCTAAACCCGCATCTCAGATATTCAGATCAAATACTACTAGCAGTCTGGGCAAATGTGTAAAATGAGTTTGAGTATATAAGGTTTTATCTAGAGTAGATAGTTTGTAAGGGTTTTCGGAATGCAGCTAACGGAGCTAGCTTTGGCTCAGTTTGATGCTACTTAGATGCTGGAGATTAACTAGCGGTTAATCAAGCGGCTGTTTGGCTGAAGAGCTCAACAAGTAGCGATAACCAAGGTTAAATATATTGGTTTAACCATATTGATGACGATAATGATGGATTTTTCACTGCACTGATGCCAGTGGGTAGCATTGTGATAACGATGTCTATGTAACGTTACACTTTCTGTGGTAGCACCGTTTATAAGTGACTGTTATGTTGTATATATTGACTGTTGTGCGTTTTTATGTATGCCTCTTAATGTGTGTATATGGTACAGGTGTGTATAAATGTGTATATATGCATATTTTTCTAATATATGTTGTATTCCTTGGGATTGTGAGAAACAGCATTTCAATCTCCCTGTCTGTATCTCACATACAGAAGATTTACAATAAAGTTGACTTTTGACGTAAAAATATTGTTTTACCTGGATTATTAAAAAACCCTAGTATTATTTACCCAGTGAAACATACCTCCTTAAAACCAATTGTACGACACATTAATTCTGATGAATATCAATGTAGATTAGACGATATGTACCATGGGATGTAGCAATTTGTTACTTTCAGAAAGTGTCTAATACTTAATTACCATGAATGCTATTATTAATGTTCATTATTCGTAATTGTTGTTTCAATAAGACAGTTAAGAGGGAGCAACAGGGAAACAACGAATCACATTTTCTTTCCTCAGTTTTATAAAGTACCTTAACTCGTCAAAACTGCATTTAGCTGATTAACCAGAAAGTACAAATGTCTGTTTCATTACTTAATAGGGGTGTTGTGTCTGTAAACAGTTTCGTGAGATTGAACGCATAATAACAACTCCTTCTAACATATTAACCTGTTATTATAATTTGTACATATTAGTTGCTTTTCCTCTGGATATTCATTGCTTTCTCTCTTGGTACCCTTTCTCAGGTCTGATTGCGCCTCACTGTTGCTAAACAGGATGATTGACGTTCGAGCATGGGCAGAGTATGTGGTGGAGTGGGCTGCCAAAGACCCCTACGGTTTCCTCACCACTGTCATCCTGGCTCTCACACCTCTCTTCATTGCCAGTGCACTGCTGTCCTGGAAACTGGCCAAGATGATCGAGGCACGTGACAAGGAACAGAAGAAAAAGCAGAAACGTCAGGACAACATAGCCAAGGCCAAGAGGACCAAGAAAGATTGAGCCTGTGGGTAGGATGAGGGCATATAAAAGGAGGAGCATCCACCACACATGCAGCCCTCCTTATTCCAAATAACTTAACAACATGGAGCCCTTTGTGTCCCAGCCCTACTGTCAGCACAGGGCCCCTACGCCTCAAATCTGGGGTGGGAGACTGGCCCCACAGGCTAACAGTGCTGAGACGGACAGTACTGCCCGAAGGAGGCTCGTCCCAGTGGGACTCTGGTCAGCAAGAGCACAGTGGTCATCTGTATCATTTAGTTTTACAGAAATCCGCTGATAATAATGTGCAGCTGTTGCAACTCTTTGCATTCCATTGTTAGCACCCATGTTCTTTAGAATTGAAGATGTAATAATGAGCTTACTGGAACTTTTTCCAAAATATCCAAAATACTACTTTCTAATCAATAAAGTTTTCATGTCGAATATGATCTAATTTCCTCATTATGGATTTTATATTGAAATGGAAAAATGATGTAATTCTAATTAAATGCAGATAAAGTATTCATCCCCTCATCTTTAATTGTATTGTAACTTTGAGCCAGAGTGCATAATTCAATTATTATGTTCAGATTGACAGAAAAGCCTCGGCATGTCAAACAGAATGACATACAAATCCATAATCCATACAAATCAATCACAAATGTTTAGCAGCCAGTCATATTTAGCAGTTGCAAAACTGCATGTGAGAAGGTAATTTGGGTGAAATCGACACATTATTTAATGCAAACTTAGTTTAAGCTTCTCGTCTTTTCTGATTACATGGTTTAATTTAGAGTTAAAAGTTATGTTTTATACATATTCCAACCCGATGAAACATTTGTTTTCCTTGGGCTTCATCAAAAAAATTATGCTTTTCATCTTGACAAAGTAAAATGTTGCTCTTTGAAGAACATTTAAAAAGGATGTACAGTATATTTGGTCATGGCTGAGATCTGCTCTTCTGATCACCTTCAATTTACAATATTTATATTCTATTTTGAGATTAAGCAGTCAATATAGATATTACCAAAGTCACAATTTATTAGAAAATTATTTCTTGCAATATCCACAATGCAGTATCTGTAATTGACTATTATGAAGCACAAGCATTTCACTTTTTCTTTGCTTTATAAACAGACCTTTTGGCTCCATTGAATCATTACTTAAAGTCAGCTTCAAGATGAGTGACGCCTATTGTCTTGATTATATACAATATATGTACACCAAGGGACTACGGAAATAGAAACCTGAAAATATAAAACAATCCAATAAAATATCCTTGAAATGATTACAGCATAAAGAGATTTAAACTCTGGTTATTTCTGAAGTCGCAGGTTGTGGTGTGGACTTGAATTACATTATACTGAAAGTTGCTTCTAAAGTTACACTACAAAGTTTCAACTGAATGGGAATATCAGTTTCACATAGGTAGTTCTTTATTGCAGGGCTTATCTATTGGATTGTGTTTTATTGTACAGCGGTCTCGCTGAATGTAGATGTCTCAGTCTATTTCTTGGGCAACCAGGAGCCGGGCTGAAAGGTGTTGGCAGTGCTGCTGGGGTCCTCGCTGATCTCCTGCTTCCCGAAGTCGGTGGAGGCGGCATGGCCTTTGGCAAGAGTCTTTGCAGGAGTCGTCACGAGACCATCTTCATATTCCTTGGCCTGTAGGATCAGATCTTTCTCCTCCACCTCCCTGGCCTTAATTTTGATGTTGTCCCTGTAAGACTGATTCTTCAGCAGCTCCTATAAAACACAGAGGTGGACATACATGCATATTCAGTGTTTTTGCAGTGTTCAACACATTAAATATAAGATAGTATAAAACGTTTTTAATAAATCGTGAAATTCAATTAATACAAAAATAAATAAACAGTCAAAAGAATGATGGAAAATCAGTAGGCAGGATGTGGCTTTGAATCAGAATGTATTGACATTCAAAGCAGTGCTTTCCAGTCATACAAAACAATAAGTTCTTGTGATATAATCAATTTACATCACCCGATCCCAGATAAGTGTCAGAGGATTGATGGATGGATTAACCTATTGAAAATTGAATTAATTTAAGTTTTTGCTGAAATCAACACTTCCTACTTATGAGTCGATAAGCTTCCTTCCTTCCTTCCTTCCTTCCGAAGCCGGCAGTTTTTTCATACAAACTTTACAGTACAGTTTTTTCGTTGTTGACTAAAACTCCCCTACTCCTGAACATGCAGTCCACTTTCAAAACAAACCCACGGTGAGTTATAGATGTAAAGTCTCCAAACAGCATACAACCTGATTAAAAAATAGTTTGAACTAATGAGACTGTATATAGAAGAAAAATAACCTACACGACATGTTGATACTTTACTTAGATGTTTTTGTGAATGTTATTTCTTGAATTTATCCTTGTTATAGTCTGTGACTTCTTATAAATGGTGGGCTTTATGGGTCGGTGACCCTTCATTGTAAAACGTGTTTAAAATCAATAGTAAAAACATGCTTTTACATTTCTTGATAGATTACATATAGCAGCCATGCAATATTGCCAACGATAGCCACCAAGGTAAATTAAAGGGGCATCAACCACAGTTTAATGGAATGGCATCCAACACTTCACAAATAAATCATGACCAGACCGCATCTACCAAGTTCTGTGATGTTGGAAATGTTAAGGTGGCAGTTTCCTAAGAAAAGAGGATGACCTATTTCGAACCTTCAAACTCACCAGAAAATATAACTAGTTATAAGTGTCCTGCTTACTATTCTAACCCTGTTTGTCCGAAAGGCACAACAAGTAAATTGCCAAGTCAAAAGTAGAAAGATATAAAAATGCATTGGAAATCTTCCAGGTACAAATGTGTGTGTGTTTGCGTGTGTAGAGTATAAAGTAAGACATTTACTAGCAGAAGACCAAGGGTGTTCAGTTAACCTGCACTATATTGTCCAATAAAACCTGGTTAAAAATGTAGTCTTTGGAACAGATTGGTAAACTAACATGACAGGAGGCATTCGCAGTATAAACAACCAGTCCAGCTCATGGAAACAATTATAGCCTGAAAACAGTCCACCGGTGGAATAGTTACCCACTTGAGCCACAACTAGTGTCCAGTGATGTTAGCCTCTCCCTGGGATGAGAAGCCAGAAAAGAAGGGAGGACTGGGCATAATGCTGTTGTGTGTTGGCACAATTGAAGGACTGGAAAAGAGAGGGGAGAGCTGTGGCCAAAAAGCCCCGCTTTGGGGAGAGAGACAAACATACTGAGCTGCTTTTCCAGCCTGTTAATGACAGGATTTAATCCAATCAATTTATGTCGGCTTGGACCGGGAAGAGAGGGAGCGTGACAAGGGGTAGGGTAATGTGCTGGGAGTGAAGCCTTGGCCACATCAACACTGTCCAGCTGTCGATGGCAGCTATTGGGCAGACGCAAGGCAGAAAATTGGAAGAGAATGTTCTGGCAATAGAGACAGGGGATGGCATTGGCCACTGTCAGGGAGAGAGGACAGAGAGACGGACAGAGAGACAGAAAGAGTGCCTCGGTATCGGCCTTCCAAGGGATTTCCTATAGACCTACATTTCACCGTCCAAATCATTTCCAGCATTCTCACATTTAAAGAGCAATAAACCCAGTGAGAGGTACGCGAGGGGAAAAACTGCAGTCCTTCACCATTCCCATCCTAGAGACTGCCAGAAATACAACAAAAGCAGGCTTTTACTGGAAAAAATAAAGTAAACTAGGACATGGTGTCAGTGAGCCGCTTGTTCAGAAGCTGTCTTTGCTCTCCGCCTCGCCATCAATGCACTTCAGCTGCTGTTTATTTTAACACCTGTCCCCCGAAAGTTCCAGGATTCAGTTCCGAACTGTAAGATAAAAACAAATCAAAGCCGTTCCTTGCTTCTATCTTTCCCTCCCTTGTAACCAGCCCTCTAGAGTCCAACCATCAGCACAGCGGGGAGGCTGGGGGGGAGACGTACCTCGACAGAGGGGGGCTCCTTCCGTCTGCCTCGGATCCACGCTGCAGGAGAGAGGAGGAAAAAAGAAGAGTGAGAACACCCACACAAACATACGCAGCACAAACAAAACCGGCAGTGATATTTAAAAGCTGCTATAGCATCGCTGAGTTTCAGGGCACAATGGTAGCTTGGTGAAAACAGAGTTACCAAGCAAGATGGGAAAACACACAGTATCTAGGGTTTTTATCATTTCATTTAGTGAACTATAGGGAAAGATGCAGAATGGTAAAAGTTACACACATGATAAACTCAAAACCATAATCCTGCTTTAGTTTAGGCAGAGCAGGGCCACTGAGTGCTGTGTCTCAGAAGAGACAGTAGGAGTCTGCTCTGATCTTTGCATTTGAAAGTAGACCCTGTCATTCTCCATCAGTAGCTCTGTCCTTCTTTCTGGTTCAGGTTAAAGGGAGAGAGAGAGAGAGAGAGAGAGAAAGAGATTGTCTAACTCTTCCCCCAGCTCGCACAGGGATTCTGGGCCTCTTTTATCCCTTTCTTATTTGCATCCTGATAAAAATGCATGAGGGATGGGGCGAAGCAGGATGAAGGGTTTAAGGTGGATGAAGCCAGTCTGAGACAGAGGGAACAGTTTGTATCCAGTTGTAAGACATTTGAAACACTATTTTTGATACGGTTGTATAACACCAGCAGAAGGCGTCTTTGATAAACTCATGAATACGCTTCTCCCAACCCCCCTCTTGCAGTTTGAGACAAAAAAAAGAAAGAAAATCAATGGATTAGCCTAGGCCCCAATAGATACAGGCATGCATTTGTTATTCCATTTTATTTGTGCAGCCCTTTATATACTCTGATGGGTAGCTTTCTTATTAACATTGTCATTCATCCATATTAGTGATATGAAAAGTATAACAGTGATGCTGCGGTCCACACTTACAGTCCCACTCCGTTGGTATGCTGCCTTCCACATATTCATGTTCTGTAACATTAGCTGCCACCACCATCCGCCTGGCACGGACCAACCTGCCTGGGAAACAAAACAAAAAGTAGAGAGGAAGACGGCGAGAGTGAGATAGAGATGCTCAACAATGATACATACAAGAACGCAAAGGAATACAAACACACACAAAGAGGAGCAGACACAATGCGCTCACACACACAGATACAGACGGACGCACAGACACACAAATACTCAGAGGAATGACAGCACTGTGACAGGCCATGGATGATTACCTCGTGGCCCTCGGGCCCTTCTTCTCAGATCTCGCTGAGTGGCTCCAAATCTGGGCTAAGCCTTTATGCAAATCAGCCTGACTTTAACCCAACCAACCACAGCCCCCCTCACTCAAAGCCTCTTCCAATCACAGCGCTCTGGCTAACAATGCCCTCCAAAATCAACATCAAGCCGAGCAGGAGACAAAAGAGGTCAGATATCACAGAGAACAGGAGAGGCACGAGCTGCGTGGAATATTAAGTGCTCCTCTCCCTATCTGTATACAGCACGATGCTCGCTAGCAGCAAGACCACCGCCAATTATTTTTGGTCGAATCTGCTGATTAGACAAGTTTGGCTGGCACACAATGACATGGAGAT